CTTTAGACAGAGAACACTGCACTTTTTCAAGGAAGGTATCATACTCTCACTCCAGGTTGGGTGCATAAACCTGTACGCTTTAGCCCTTAGTAGCTTCAGTCGAGGATTACCACCCTTCCGCTGACAAGCTTCCAGTCAATGATTCTATCGGCAAGGTTGGGTTCTACCAGAACGCCAACACCGGCCTGAGCGCGCGTCGTGATATTTACGCCTGAGTAGAATAGCATCCATCCGTTGAGGTTGAGTGCAGAGCCTTGGCACTTCGTTGACGAGAGTCCAACAATGTCGAGTTGGTACTTTATGGCCTTATCGACTAACTTTTGTTCTTTCCCTTTGAGTAAGGATATATTTCAATTTCGGATTGAACTCCAACTGGCAGTGTCCTTTTCGTGGAGCCTTTTTTGACGTGCTAGTAGCATCGGACTGCCGGCCTCCTCGGTGCGGAAGGGGTAGCGACTACGTTGCTGACTGGCATCTTCGTCATCGATTCGTCGGTTTCCTGTAGCCGTTGTTGTGCTGCTAGGTTCCCGGCTGGCAGAGGACGATGAACAGGTTCTGATCGCCAACTTCTTCGCAATCTGCCTCAGTCCCCCAGCGGCTTGCGCGGGCCTTGGTAACCTGGTCGATGACCGATCCGGTATAATTTTTAATGGCGTCAATACCATGAAGGTTAGGTGGCAAAATTTTACGTCGACTTCGCCACAGTCTCCAACGCTGCTCATTTATCAACTGGGCTTGGGACCGGCACCGGCGGAGTTAGATATCATTTATATAGATTACAAATAAATTTTGGTTACTCTGCTGTTTTTCTCCGCTAGCCGTTAACACGGTTAGAAAGCAACTTTGATAGCACATCTCCAACTGCAGAAACAAAAGCAGAAATTAAATTTGACTTAGACTCTCGAATATAAACAGAGCCTACTAAATCGTTTTAAAGCTGAGGAAGCGTCGGAAAATGTCGATGTGAAAGACGACAGATGGGATATTCTGATCGGTTGGTTAAATAATAAAAGTCAGTATTTCATAACACTTCATAAACTAATATAATGACTAATCAATAATTGACTATGTACGTTAAGCGTCCTAGTTTCCGGCATGCAGAAAAAAGAATTTATCTAGAATTATTTTGCAAATAATTTGTGTTAAGAATAATAACAAATGTTTTCATTGACAAATAGAGTTACGCACAATAAATGGGTTATGGTAGGAAGATTCCAATACAGAGAAACAGATAATCGCACCAATTCTAAAGTGATGAACCTTGTGCCATAACCGAGATTCTCAGTAAATCCTGTTAAACAATAAGCTTGGCAAACTGCGAGTTAAAGTAGTAGTATACAGCGATTTTTTCATGATAGACTTCTGATCTATTGACTAAAGTTGAAACCGTGTGACAACTTTTTTGACTTTAACGGCATCCTTTTTAATGAAGTTATGCTCGTGATGTCACAACCCTTTCATGCATTCACAACATTTTTTTCGACATTACAATAATGCTTTCGCGGACTGATACCCAACAGATCTCCTTCATTATTTGCAGTTCACCCGCACATGCGGAGCTATGCTTTGCCAACCACGAACAACTTAACAAACCAACGAATTATGTCTTAGCAAAGAACCGATGCTGCTACATATCCATATTGAATAGCTTAAAATTGTTAATAATTTAACTAACCATAGTTCTCAAACTTTTAAAGGCAATCATACTGAGGACAAATCCCTTCTTCGAGCTCTAAATTAGCCATGTGCAAAGCAACTGAATTGGAGACTGGTATCTATCCTACCCTATGACGGCGAAAACAGAAACTCTTTCAGATGCATTGACGAGAGATCTGAATCGCCATTCGCGAACTATTTTAATGCGAATGAGCGCCAGCTCAGAATTATTATTCTACAAGATTTTATACAACTAATATGAAACAAGATGATAACAAGATGGTAAATGCAAAACGCTGATATCGAATATAGCGACGAAGAAGTACCTCGTGAATAAGAAAATTTTTCCTTTACTTTGCACTAACGGAGTTGCAGCGTGAAACCAGTAGAAGTTATTGCACTGATTTTTCCTCTACATTGCGTTGACAAGGATATTAATCTAAGGAAAAACTCTGTTTGTTTGAGTAAAACGAAATTTGTTCCAACGTTTTTGCCAACCATGTCAATTATAGTCAAAAGACGTATTAATTTACAGTTCTTGTTAGAAACCTAGCATTTGCTACTTATTGAATGACGAGTAGACAGCGACAATGGAA